AATCACGAATGAAGCAAGACTGCGTCTTTCGTCTCATGTCTTCATGCTTTCTTGACGCAGTGGGTGTGCGGCCGTCCTAAGACATGTTCAGGATCCCACTGCTTTCCCTACAGTCTGCAGTACTCCGTTTATGTCTCACATGTCACGAATTTTCTGGCGCATTCTTGGAAGATAATAACTTCTGTTTTGCTGGGCAACCCCTCGTCTAGTAGTCATTTCAGTTCATTGCTCACTGATCACCCTACCACTTGACACAATATAGAGGGATGTGCTGACAGCACCCTTTTTCTTATTGCTAGTGGAGTGGGACTAAGTCCCTTGTACTGCGGCCACTTCTGGCCTATTGTACCAGCCCCAGATGATAGGTGAGGGTAATTATGGAGCAATTGGTGGAATGAAGATTGGCAGGGGAAACCGAAGTACTCGGAGGAAACCTGCACCAGCCCAATTTTGTCCACCACAAATCCCACTTGACCAGACCCGGTATCGAACCCGGGCTGCCGCGATGGGAAGCCAGCTACTAACCGCTTGAGCTATGGTGCCGCCTCTGACAGCACCCTTACAAAAACCATAAGCCACTTCAAAGGTCCGCCCCTAAGCTCTTATCGTGACGGCTGAAGACATTTCAAAGGCAAAAGTAAGCACCACGCCATGAAGGCGCAGCGAAGTTCTTAATCTCAGAACTAGACGGAGGTAAATCAACAGCTTCATGTTCCGTCCGCTTTACCCCCGAGGAAGATGCTCACTGAACCCAACGGACAGGAGCCTGGATGGATTTGAACGCTGTAGGGACTAGGAAAATGCCTTGACCTTCCATCCCGTAACCAGACCCAACTTCCGGCAACTTGAATATTGAATGCATTTGTTAATGAATTAGCTTTTGAGCTAACACCTTGTCAGCAACATTAATATTTAAGCACATCCAGTAATTGCTGGGTCTGGTATGAAGGAATGGCTGTTCTCGCAGGGCATCTGCAGTTTCAGCATGGCCTTAAGCAGCCATTCATGAAACAGTGATAGTTGCTTTGCCTAAGTTTAGGACTATATTGTAACGTGTATAGCCGTTGCTATGCAACGACCGCGAGATGAGAGGCTATACCGGGTCCGTTTCTTGACAACGGATCGATATACATTTTCCCGCAGCAAAAGATACGAAAAAAAAGAGCTGTGTTTTCTGTGAGGTTCGTGCTGAGGTTTTATAAAAGAGGGACAAAGTTAGAGTCTGGTCAGTTCTCTACGGGAGTCTGTGAAGAGATTGTAATGTACGCCAAGTAAATCAAAATCGAATTTACAATTCTAGTTTTGCTTCACTTCTTTTTCATCTGGGGCGTTTAACGACGGCTTCGGTATCGATGTTATACAGGTCGGTTGGTAGAGTGACCGATGAATGATAAATTGTAACGGATTGGGAAGGAAGCGAGAGTGGCTTAAACTAGGTAGTCAATGTTCCGGGGTGGGACTCGAACCGAGCATCTCCAGGATACAAGACCAACCTGTCCGCGAGTCGTGTAATATTAAAGATGTTAACACAGATTTAGTGCCAGTGCATTTTAGTGCTTCGAAGCATGAAGCGAGAGGAAAAATACTGCGGACCTGCTAGGCGATGTTAAGCATCTCAGCATCTCGCAGCCTCTCAAGAGCGACCCTGTTCTGTAGTCAGGCTCATGTAACTTTAGCGTACGCCCCATTCGGTATGAGGTTTCGTAACACGTGGGAAGGTTAAATGCTCAGCATATTTTTATTAATTATACGTTTGTAGGCCTACACAAGAGCCTGGATAGCTCAGTTATAACGGCAACACTACTGGTTGGCCGCGCCATAGCTCAAGCGTTAGTCGCTGGCTTCCCACCCCGGCGGCCCGGGTTCGAACCCGGGTCTCGTCAAGTGGGATTTGTGCTGGGGCAGGTTCCCCTGCCAATCTCCATTCCACCAAATTCTCCATCATCATAATCACCTGAGTCAGGCTACAATAGGCCCATCAGTNCTATGCTAATTAAGAAAGGAAACACTACTGATTGGACGTCGGAAGAATGAGGGTTCGATTCCCGACAGGAGGAAAATATTTTTCTCTTCTTCACACGCCCAGACTGGCTCTGAGGCCCACCCAGTTTCTATCCAGATGGTACCGGAGGCTCGCTTCCCGTGGAAAAAGTGGCCGGGGCGTGAAGCTGACCACCATCTATTACCGAGGTTCATATTGGAGTTAACTTCCCATGCATAATGGTGTAGGATAAGATTTGATAGTCCTTCTAAAAGAGAATCTCTTCCCTCCGTGATGACAGAAATCTTAGCCATAACGTGATGCTTACGTACGTGCAGTCAGAAGCAAGTTACGCTTATCCCATAAGCACATATGACACCTTTATACTCCATAAAGCAACCCATTCAGCAGATTAGAACATCTCGCAACAACCATGACACAGCCACGGTGACATGACGCTGCTCGCGGCTGAGCCAGCACAGCAGCTTGTAACGTAATGTACTGAAAGAAATGTCAACACTACAGCATGCGACGCCGTGCAGCTTCCAACATTTCGAAAGATCATGCTGCCTCCATCTTCAGGGTAAAAAAGTACTAGGCTCTTTTGTAGACATTTATTTTGCTCGGAAAAAATTACTAAATTTTGGGATTATCTTGTCGCTTCCATGTTCAGGTCAGAAGAGGCAACAAGTTCCTTCATATATATTCTTAGATAAGTACCGGAATTTTGAGAGCATCCGTTGCCTCCATCTTCAGGGTAGAAGAACAACTCTTCTAACCCAGCCTCTGTATCACCTCTGTTTACAATAAAAACGTTGCGTTTTTGTCAAAATGTATTTATGTGCTTTTATATAATTCTTACAATAAACAGCAATATTTGCCCGACAACGATCAGGTTAGCGTAGCGGCATCGATTTTGACATGTGCTCGGGAGGTTCTCGGTTCGAATGTCTGCCGGGACACAGGCTATCATGACTGAGGTTTCTTCGTGGCTTTTCTCAGGTCCTCCGGACATTTATCAAGATATTACTTCGATTAGGCTATGACCACTTCTTGCAAATTCTTCCCAACTCTTTTAGTCACAAATTCGACGCTCTATATTCTGAGATACTGGCAGTGTCGTTAAATAACCCGCAGTACAAAGCGTGCTACATGGCCCCCCGCTCCATGATTTCGTCACCCTAATGATGTTTGGGAAAATATACAAACGTTGAAGCTCCTCATATTTGCACTTCGTTATGGAAATTAGTTAAAGCTCTCCCTGTAACAGGCCGTGGAGGCCCGCAAAGTTGTGAGATGTCGAGGTTCCCACATTTTCTATATAATCCACTCACAGTTGGCGGTGATGTCGTCAGCCTTACGCGACGGCCGGCCGGCCGGCCGCCCTTTACCTCCTAGGGAGATTCCTGGTACTCATTTCTGTTAGAGGCTGAGTCAACCCCGGGGCCATGGTGCGACTGGAAGGATTAGGTCAATGAGGTCCAATGACCTCATCGGGAATCGAACCCGTAACCTTCCGGCTTTTAGCATAGTGCCTCAACCGATTAAGCTACCGCGTGCCCTATGGAAATTAATTACATATATATTTTATGGTACTTGTAATGAGTCCGTTGGCTTACTAAGACAAGTTCCCACTGAGTAACGTACTAATTGCAGTCAAAGTAAGCAGTTGATCTCGCGGATACGCACTGATGTGTGGCAGGAGGGCAATAAGTACAGCTCCTTTCTTCATTCACGCTCTTCCTGCCGTTCGGTGCAGAACGGGAAGCGAAGTGCAAGAGCTTCTCAGAATTTGGGCATCACCTGATTTTCATCTGAGCCGATCACAGTGGCCACGCGGTCTGAGGCCCGCTCCAACACTGGGGTCATGGGTTCGAATCCAACTCGAGGCATGACAGTCTGTGTGAATTTATTCCGGATTTGTGCTGTGCTGTGTGTAGGCAGCTGCCTTGAGGCAGGCTGATCCCCCATCCAAGGAGTCCTGCTAAATGTGTATAGTATTACGAAACTGAAAAACCGACCAGGGCCCAACAAAGGGCCGTAGAGCCATTGAATGGATGTTGTTCAGCTGGGCACTATTAAGTGGAGCTTTTGATAAATTATACTAATTAATAAATTAATCAGAATCGCGGCGCCTGGGCAATGCTATACCGCAGCGCATGCTCCAGAAGCCAGTGTCGGCTGTTGGACGGCCGATCTAAGTCCGTCCTCTCCCGTGGAGCGTCGCTAGGTAGGCGCGCGGGCGCGTTGAGCAGAGCGTCTGTGTGTCTGTCTGTCTGTCGACCGGTCGGTTTGATGCAGGAGTTTCGTCCTGAGTGTCGGGAGCAACAGGCATCACATCCAAACACTCTCCTCCGTCTCACAATCGTTGCTCTGTCGGTAGGCAAGAAGATAAGTGCGTGCATGCTACAGGACGAAGACTGTTTACTGCAATGTTCTTAGCAATACTAGACTGAATGCGAAACATATCTTCTTAAAAACTGTAAATAGTTATAATAATGGTTGAGATTAAATTCATTAATATGTCTTTCAAACTTAGTGCTGTAAATATGCCGTTCGTGCATTGAGGAAAAACACATAATAGACAAAAGAAATGGATCAAAAATTTTGAAGAGTGTAAAGAATCGACAGGTGCAAATAGAAACGAGATGGATGAATGTGCTGAAATCGAAAATTGTGTTTTATGAATGTGGTTAAAAAAATATATATATTTTTAGTAGCAATAAGTTCTGTGAAGAGTGTAGACAAAAACCGAGACGTGTGTAAATATATAAGGAAGGGAGATAGAAATCTGTTATTCGAATTATTTGAATCTCAGAAATGTTAAAATTGCGATACATTTTCTTGTTATGTTTAGAAGCAAATCCAGAACTTTAAATATATCTGTGTTCTCAGTTCAGATGCATTGTTGTACTTAAGTATGACAAATTAGTTCGCCGAATATTGAATTTACGAACAAGTGTGGTATAATTGATTATATTAGAAAAATTAACCTTGTACCTACAATTCAATTTATATGATAAGATATTTAGTTTGTGTTATTTGGTGTAAATCGAAGAAGTCAAGTGAGATGTGTTAGAAAGTTCATAGATTTCGCGAAAGAAACAAAATAGCAAGCTATTAACAGTTTTCTCTGGGAAAGTTTTACAATACGAAATTATTAATATTAATAATGTTACATGTTATAACTATTCCGCAAGAAGGGATCGCCTTAAGTAATATTGCGATATATTAAAATTAACGTGACTTAAATTTCATAAAGTCAGCGGCAGTGGTGCTTTTAACAGAAATAAATTGAACTTAACGTAATATCGATCTGAGAAATCATTTGTGACGTCATCAGGTGACGTGTATGAAGAATCGATTGTTTCATTTGAAACCTAGGTAACAAGACGGGACTAAAATCGGATAGAGGAAATATGTTCAAATATTCATAGCAACCATATCCGAGGGAACACACTGCAACAAGTGTAAGCAACAATGTCTCTACACCACTACTACCACCCTCAGCAGTACCATTTGGAACAACAGGTCATTGGTTCTGATCCCGTGAACGGATCCGAGTCGGATGTAGCTGCACTATCCGACTTAGAAGAGGATGATGATGATGATGATGATGATGACGAAGAGGATGATGATGATGATGATGATGACGACGACGAGTTGCCGTACCCTGGGTTCATACCCGTCGCCCTGAAGTACCTGGACCAGAACACGAGACCACGCAACTGGTGCCTCAGGATGATCACCAACCCATATCCTTTTTAAGTCAGTTTCTCTTCCACGCTTCGCGTCTTTCGTCTGCAGAATCGGTGAGTGAGTCTCAATACTTTTCGCACTAATGTAACACTTACAGAGTGATGAGATGTGCAGGGCATGTAGCACGAATGAGGAGAAAAGTGATGCACATAGGATTTTTGTGAGAAAATTGGAAGGAAGGCAACCACTAGGAAGACCTAGATGTAGATGGGAGGGTAATATTAAGATGTAATGTGTTTTCTCTGAGATACTGACTGAGTTTCAAGTACAGTGTAGGTCTTAATGTGTTTCCTGTGAGGTTCGGACTGAGTTTTAAGTACAGTGTAGCTCTTAATGTGTTTCCTGTGAGGTACGGACCGAGTTCTAAGTACTATGTAGGTCTTGAAACGGTTACTGACCCAGTCAATAGCTCAGAATACGTAGTATCTAACGGTAGGACGTTTCGTGGATAATGGTATGGGAAAGGTGGGAAAGGAAGCGCTCACAACTTAATTGAAGCAAGTATCGTGGTGTAATGAGAGTAATTATCAATAGTATTCACATTACAAATATTAAAATAATAAAGTGAGACGACTGACAATTAAATCACCACGCACATGATCATCATTTCAGAAGTAACTAAAGAAAATGTGGGAAGTTTCCACCCAGTTTTCTTCGTTTTTCTTCTGCCACTCTTCAATCCACTACTGTTTCATACTCGTCTATTGTCGCCCCCCCCCCCGAGGTGTTCGACAGCCCTGAGCACGCAGCACATTATCACATTCTCGGTCTATAACTTTTGGTGCTTCATCTCTGGTTAGTCGTAAGCCCACCTCAGCTGTTTCCCTGGCAACCGTCACACACAGGTGAAAACAAGGAGCTCAGTCTGTGAGGCTGGGTTCCAAGTAGCTCAGACCACGTACCGTTATTACGTTGAATGACAGGATTGTGTGTTCGATGATGAATTTGAAATGATCTGTAACGAAGAGGAGCCGGGATAGCTCAGTCGATATAGCGGCTGGCTATGGGCTGGACGACTGAGTGGTCGGAGTTCCGAGTCCTGGTAGGGTAAAATTTTCTCCTCTCCAAGTCGTCAAGACCGGTCCTGGGGTCCACCAAACCTCCTATCCAATGGGAACCAGGGGCTCTTTCCCTGAGGGCAAAACGACAGGAGCGTGAAGCTGACCACTCACCTCCAACTAGTGCCGAGGTCAAGAAAATGTGGATCTATACACCCACTCTCCCCCTACGCCTTCATGGCGTAGTGCTTAATTAGTTAAGCACACATACAGCTTTACGTTACCTGTAAAGAAGAAGAAGTGACTTTTTTTCCTTTTGGGACTACAGCCCAAATTTGGGACTTGGCTAACCTCCATGAAACTCTCCGTTTCACTTCGGTTTACTAGGTCATAGATATTCTCTAGGACTCCTTGGACGGGTGATCAGCTCATCACAAGGCCTCTACAAACAGAAAAAAAACACACACAGAAACACCAAACATCCATGCCCTTAGTGGGATTCGAACCCACGATCTCAGCTTCCGCGCGAGCGAACACAGTGCATGTCCTAGACCGCTCGGCTACCGTGACCGGCGAAGTCTTGACTTAAATTTGAGGGGGGGGCTGTGTAAAACGAAGAAAAATTCAAGATCCGGCGGTGCGTGTCCCAACCGAGATTCGAACTCGTAACCTCCCCGATTACAATTCAGAAACTTCACGGCTTGAAACGAACCCGTTAGGTTTTATTCTCAAGCACGGCTCGAAATCGCGCTGCTTTTTGCTGCGAGGTTGGAAATTTCAGTCACAACCAATGCAGATACGAAGTTTCATGGCAATAATACGTACTTAATGGCACAGAACGTGAAGTAGCGTCGTGTTCTGCGAAGCGGAACGCAACTAATGGGACTTGTACGCTGTTAGGAGATGAAGCAATATCCTCAAGCTAAATTAACTCATTGAATCTCTTGCAAAATTCATGAAGAAAACAGTAAAAAAATATATTAATATCATAAATCCCTTTCCCATTAGGCAAAACATGAAAGAAGCCAACTTGTCTGATCGTAACTCATGAGAATTCTATTCAGGAAGTAGTCGATTTGAATTTAGACCTGAGGTTTTCGGAGACTTGCCTCATCCCTACAAGAATATGGATAGCTCAGTCGATATAGCGACGGGCTACTGGTTAGACGACCGAGGTTCGACCCCGATAAGGTTAAGATTTTTATCTCTTCCACAACCTCAAAACTGACTCTTGGGGCCAACCCAGCCTCATAACCATAGGGTACTGGTGGTTGTTTCCAGGGGGGGGGGAGCAAAGCGGTAGGAGCATGAAACTGACAACTCCATCTATTTTCGAGGTCAAGAATGGTGGAGCTGTACCTCCACTCCTCCGTATATTTTCATGGCGTAGTGCTTAATTAATTAAGCGCAAGGACAACTTTATTTTTACTTTACGTTACCGCAGTCAGGAAAGAACGCCATAATTCCAAATCCTTTCCAGTTCACCACTCATCGAATAATATGTGAACTGGAAATTGGGGTATGGACTGGCAGCCTTGATCTTTCCCGGGAGGAATTGGGACTTAAAATAAGTCGTGGCCAAAGCTGACCTATAAGAGAACAGTTCGTGATTTATCACTGCATTAACAGCGCCATCGTCTGTAAACTGGGTGGCAACAGCATAGATGTTAACAGCGGGAGCCTGCAAAACAGTGCAGACGTGTGGGCGCACAACCTAAACACCAAAGTAGTGTAAATATAAGGATGAAGTCCATAGACAACTGACTCACGTGTAAGTCGCAACGCATGCCCCAAGAGCAATAGCCTTAGAAGTAACAATCTCTTTTTGTCAAGAGCTCTACCAAACCTGTCCAGTGAATATTTTGTAAACGACAGTCCGTCTTTAGGAGCTGATGGCTGTTGAAGGAATCAATAAATTCCCAACATTCCACGAAACGCTAGGATCCATTGCCTTGTTCACAGGACGTCACTATTGTTTCCTGTCTTACAGCAGATTAACCATGCCACACCATCCAATCGTGTTCCTTTACGATCCACTTTAATATTATTCCAATTCTGTGCCTGTACTTTTCAGGTTTTCTTTTACTGCGCCATAGAGCTCCGAAATTCACGTCCATTTTCCATTATTCAGTTCCTTCTATCGCATACCTGCAAGTCCGAGGTTCTGTTTGAGTACCCCGAACGACCCCAAATCTGAAGGCCCACCCCTGTCGGTTGTCCGCGACGGCACCTAACTTCCATGCTGGAGTCCATTTTCTCCATCCACAGCCCGAATAGGGGCCATTTTGTGGGGACGAAACTCCCACTTCAGGGCCATTCTGCAGCTCGGTCGGTTAGTGGCCCGTTTCCCACCGCGGCGGCCCGGGTTCTATACCAGGTAACGTCATATGAGATTCATGGTGGACATAGTGTTAGTGTGGCAAGTTCTCTCCGAGTATTTCGGTTTCCCCTGCCAATTCTCATTCCATCGACTGCTCCACACTCAACACTCATCATCCGGGGCTGATACAGTAGGCCATACAGTGGCCGGCGTACCAAATGGACTCAGTCTCACCCCACAACACGAATAAGCAAGAAATCCTGGGAGGAACTTACAACCTACTTTAATTTTATACGACACGGACTGCACAGAAAACGACGCGTCCAACAATTCTTCCATTACAGTGGGTATGTTCCTTGCAGCGGATTTTTTTTTACCGAGCCCTTGCCCAGCAACAAAAGGAGATATAAAATGACCGAGCTGGTGCCAAGTTTCATAAATATTGGTTCAGGCATTCAGAAGCTAATAAGGGGAATACGCAGACACACAGAGAGCATGGAAATCCTAGTTTATTTCGTGTGTAAGATCAGGAGTTCTCGCACTTGAGACACCCGCTTGAAGGTCTCACGGCCGTGACTGTCAAGATTATCTATTGAGTTCTGCAATGTGACGCCGTCTATTCTGGTAGAACTTTCTGCCCTCATCCTCAGGAGAAAATAAGTCGAGCATGGAGAGCATTGGTGCAGATACAGTGGAGGGGCGGAGGGAGTGATCCGTGCCCTCAGCGAACCAGTGGCAGTAAGGAGAACAGTTTACATGAAAGACTACTGGCCCTCAGAGGCACCGCTCCTCAGAGCAGGGCGCTGCTTCTCTCCCTTGAAGGGAAAGCGTTCTGCACACTGTTGTCCTTACTCCTGTTTTCACCCTGAAGACGGAGGCGAGATCCTGCTGCCTGCCGTACTACATTGCCGTCACATCTCAGAAGGCAGCAATAGTTGAGAGCTACGTTTCCACTACTATTACTGCCACTGCCACTGCTACTACTACTACTACTACTACCGTCAATTATTTTACAATGCTGGCAGTTAATATCGAAGGGCCGGATGACAAATAAAAAAGAATTGGAAGGGATTCGGAAGGAAGCTGTCGTGGCTTAATTGGTATCCTGTCCTAGGATGTTCCTGCACGGACTGAGAAACACCACGAAAAGCCTCCGTAAGATCGGACGATGTCGCGGTCGAGATTCGAACCGAGCACCTCCAGAGAGCGAGTTTGGAACGCTACCGCTCGCTACTGCAGGGGCCTGCTGTGGACGCTGAGGCGTCGGCGTGGGTGTTGCGCGTGTTTGCGGAGTGACAGAGGTGCTGAAGTCATGCACATTGCGTCACTGCAACTCCACTCATGTCACCGGGACGGCACTTCCATCAGCCAGGTTGTTCGTTAAAATTCTTCTGGACCAAACCGATTTTGGTGCAGTTTGGAGACTCTGATGCCTGTGAGAGTTGACATGAAGCTGTTAATCGCTCATACACTCAACAAATCTCCGAATGTTATGGCAACTGTGTTCGCAACAACTCGCCAGTCGAAACTATTCTCAAGCAAAGGAATCCAGTCCACGTCTACTCTACTTTCTTATGTTCCTGTGTTCATCTCGTGGCACTCCAAGCTGTTTCTCCCCTACGGATTTTCCCACCAACATTTTGCGTTCTGCGTTGAGATAAAGGTGAAGCTGTCCCTGTGCTTAACTAATTAAGCACCACA